TTACCGCAAGTCATATCTGATAAAATTTTTGAAAGATTTTTGTATTACAGAATTCTACAGGGAGATCCTTCCTTTGAGAGTGGTCAGAAGACTTCATAATAATGTTGCTGAATTTTCAAACATTTGGCATGCATTCTTTCCATTCTTTCGCAGCAATGACAGATGTGCCCTTCTGAGGAGTTGTGTGAGAGGGTTATTCACACTTGATTATCATTTCATGTTCACTCCTTCCTATTACACAGCACCTACTGTTACATTGCTTAATATATTTTGAGACATTATACATAAGATAAGTGAATAAAACACTATCAGTGCTTTGCCAAGCAAAGACAGATGTCCATTAACTCCATTCACTGCAACAGGAGCTCACATTTTAAAATGCCAAATAGCCTCGTGGCAGTAGGCAGCTAACAAGTCCCCAGGTAGGTAACATGCAAAATCTGAGTAACCATGAAAACAAAGAAGCCGCATCTGAAGTTACCACCCAAACTACTAGTTACAGGCGCTTCTGGATCCAAAAAACAAACATTCCCTTCAATGATCATCCACAAAAGAAACAAGGAAGTCATCAGAATGTGATGGCAGCATTTCCATAACAAAGATCAATTTCTTAGAACTGATGACAGCCCTGTGACAGAAAATCCATGATGGAAAGAAAAAAAAGAAATTAAATTGAGTTTTAAACTCTCATTAAGTTTTAATAAAATGAAACAAAAATGCACTGGAATGGTTTCCAGTGTGAATAAGCACCAGAGCAGAGTGTGAACTAATCAGCTGTACACTATTGGATGCACACCTCAAATAGCTGACAGTAATACTACCATAATACGAGGGGAAATCTGTGATGTGATCTGTATGAAATCTGTGATCTGTATGAGAATATGAGTTTAATCCTTACTGCCCATCCCAGAGTGAAATTTTGATCAGGCAAGATGGACAGCCCGCTTATCACTAAGGATCTGCACTTGCATAATACAAAGTAAGAAGAAAAAATGAGGAAACCTATGAAAGTAATGACATATAAATAAAAATATAATTCATGAATAATATATACCACATATTTTTTCCAACTGCAATTATAAAATAGTCTATTTTCTTTGCCATTTTAATTTTGTAAATTATTTATAGGGTTCCATATACTAAGGAATAATCCCCATTTATTATGTTTTGACATAATTCTCTTTTAAATAAATTTGAAATTCATGAGAGTAGAATGTACATAATGATTGACATCAACAATAATTCGCATCAGTCTTTCCAATAGTGGAGAATGATGCTACTACAGCTGTTATCTCCAAGTTCTGGGGACTAGCTTTATTACTCTTTTCTCTAATATTAGAAGCTTTAATACTTAGTGAAAATGAACTCTGTCAGTTTGGGTTTTAGCAATTATTTCACATGTAGCCTCTTGCTGAGAACAAGGAAGCTTGTGTGTGTTCTGGAGAAAGAATTAATCCAGCACAGTGGTTCTAGTTCACTGACAACCCATACTACACTTGGGAAAGTGATCCCTTCTGTGTCAATTAGGATTTTTTCACCGCACAATACTTTGAAAAATGATACATTCATGAACATGAATCTATGTGTGAGGATGAGATTTCATACAGTTGCTTCCTGTCTTACCAAAACACGACTAAAGAACATTTTTAACTGCCAGCTCAAAAGAATGCTATATTTTGAGGGCCATATTGTTATGTTATGTTATTAATTTGTTAATTATTTGTTTCCGTTATAAAATCATTTTGGTCTATGAAGTTATTTTAGAAGAAGAATTGGTTCTTGACAATGGAAGCTTGGCACAACAAAGACAGAACATGCCCTCAGTTCTCTTTAAGAGTCGTGAGAAAGGGGATTTCCTAACAAAAGATTTCCTAACAGAAGACTAGAACCTGACAGATGAGAACAGTTCCTCTTCTAATCAAAACCCAGAAGAATTTGTCAGACATGAAGTGTAAGATTCCCAATAAGAACCTTCATTAGTGGAGATCACTGAAACTGATCTGTTTCAGCGCTTAAGTATACCCAATTCCTCATGCCACAGTTTGAGCACACTTGAGCTATTTACATCAAAAGTAACAGGATATAATTCTTATCTTTGTAGCAAATATTTACACATTTATGATGTTTCCCTTAAGTCTTCTCTAAACACAGTTATTTCAGTCTTTCCTGAAAGTGTCTGCATTTTTAACTTCTGATCATACTGGTTGCTTCTCAGCAGATGCATCTTTTTTTTTTTTTTTTTTTTAACATCATGCACCATTTTCCAATTAAGCCCTTACCAATGCTAAAGTAGAACAGAATGATTGTTTCACCTCTCCTATGAAAGACATTTTTATTTACATATTCTAGTATAGTGATGGCATTTGCCAAAGTTGTTTGAGCATTACTCACATATTTTGACTTGAATTGGTGGAAAACCTCCTTTCCCTCTAGACTGTTAAAATATCCTAAACCCTCAGGTTTATGGTAAAAAAGCACTCTTGTTTTGTAGAAAAACTTTCTGAAAGTATTCAAAGCAACCTATTTGCAGAAATGCATTCCTTTAACCTTTTTTTCAGGATTTATATTTATTTACATATTTACACTATGGCTTTACATAAGCACTGCCACTGGAGAAGGGTATCCAACTTAGTAACCTTATTACCTTCCTTGCATAGATTCAGACTAGTATATCGACCCCCGAGGGCATCACAGGAAATCAAAAACAACAGGGTTGGAAAGATTTATTAGGGTTTCTAGTCCAAAGTTACTCTAATAAAAGATTAATTAAAACCAGTGATGGGCCAGAGAGTATGCTTGTATGAGTAAAGCGAGGTTGCTTTCCTTCAGGAAGGTAGAGACCAGCATTAGTTTGGCTGTTTCCCCTTTACCAGCCTCCACAAAACTTAACTTTTGGAGTTTATGACTTTGATCCTTGACTCGGATTTGGCTGAAACTGGCCAAAAGATTCCAGTTCACTAGAGGAGGAGGACAGGCGGGCAACCATACGACACAACTGTGTTAAGCTTTGCTTTCTAAGAAATCTAACTATAGAGACCAGACTTGTTCCAGGCACAGATGCCTACTTTGGAACCTGAGACAAAGGCACAAAATACCAGTAGATGGAAAAGGACTGGATAAGCTCAAAACAATGATTTTAAGTCTGTGAAATGTTTGAGTTCCTCTCCATTTTTTTTAGGCCAGCTCTGGGATAAGCTGTCTAACAAATTCTGAGATTTTGCTAAGTAGGAAACTTCCTGTCACTGTGCATTACCTCCAATGAAAATATGTTTCCAGTCATTTCCAGAACACAGGGACAGCAACTATTAAAAAGAAAAAACCACGTAGCTTCATCCTTTGAATAAAGATCTGCACCATTGGTACCTTAATAATGGAAAGCCTGAGCAAACAATTGCAATGCAGAGAAAAAAAAAAAGGAACGAGAAAAGTCAGGAGTTTAGCTAGAGAAAGAAAGAGACCCCAGCCACTGTTCTTTAGTACCTCTTACTCTGCACAGCTTCCTCCAGCATACACTTCTCAGTCACACCTCAAACTGAAACCTGCATTTGCCTCCTTCCAAGAATTTACAGCTGCAGCTCCTTGGATATTTGGTAGAGTATCACTAATGGTCCTAATTAAGTTAAGCACCTGAGGTCCTGTGCTTTGTTAGTGGAGTTAACTGGCATTTTGGCAGTTTTTACAAGGCACTTCTAAAGCAAAGCAAAAAACAAAGTCCAGCAAATGCTTCAAATTTAATATGTATTTTGCATTATTCGTATGTCCACTGGAGTCTTCATGTCACAACATGCCATCTGTTCTTGGAACGGTGAAGTATCTCTCTATACCAGATCGCTCAATCTGTCCTGCTCTCAGAGAGGTGTTTTGGACGGGACCCTGGGTTATAGAGGCTTTGCCCAGCTGTGAAGCTGTAATAATTGTCTCTCTCGAACTTAAATTCCCGCTATTTCTGCCTGTCCACGCGCTTCGACCTCACTAGCTCCGGCTCCTCCTCGGCGTCCGCGGGTCTGGTGTGACCCGCCCTTTCCGACGCTCCTCCGCCGCGTGCTACCTCAGGAAAGGCCACCTGCCTCCTCCCTCCACACCGCTCCTTCATTAATTAATTAATTAATTACTTCGGCCGGGAAGGAGGCGGGGCGGGGGGGGGTGCGAAGGGGCTTCTCAGGGCAAGGCGACCAACGGCCGGGGGCGCGCGCGCGGCCGTTGCCACAGCGCGACTAACGGCCGGGGGCGGAGTGAAGGGGGGCGCGCGCGCGGCCGCTACCACAGCCCCACTAACGCTCCCGGCACGCGCGACCAACGGCAGGGGGCGGGAGGCGCGCGCGCTGCCTCCCCACAGCCCCACTAACGGTGCCGGCACGCGCGACTAACGGCCGGTGCCTGAGGGGGTGGGGAAAGGCGCGCGCGCGGCCGTTACCACAGCCCCACTAACGGTCCCGGCACGCGCGATTAACAGCCGGTACCTGGGGTGGGGGAGCCGCGCGCGCGGCCTCACCACAGCCCCACTAACGGTCCCGGCACGCGCGACTAGGGGGGGGGGGCGGGGGGAGAGGCGCGCGCGCACGGCCGTCACCACAGCCCCGCTAACGGTCCCGGCACGCGCGACTAACGGCCGGTGGCTGGGAGGTGGGGGGGAGAAGCGGACGGGCGGGCGCGCGGGGCCGTCCCCACAGCCCGACTAACGGTCCTGGCACCGGCACGCGCCCGCCGGCCGTGCGGGCCTGCCCTCACCCCCTCCTCCGCGCGGGAGAAACCATCGCCAGGGCATT